AGGGGAATTTTGTTGACCAGCTGGGTAACTGTTAGCTTCTTAAGAATGGCTGTGCTTCATGAAATGAATGAGTGGATTGGTAGGTATTTTGTCATTGTGTATTCACCACTCTAGTTTTTACTTTCATAATATTTCTTGTAAAAATGTTTTGTATTTCCTATTCAGTGAGAATTTATTCAGAATTGTTTGTAGAAGATGAAGTGTTTTAAAAGAACCTGTTAAAGTGGCATGGCAAAGTAGCGTACAAATGCAGTGGAATCCCAGTTTAACGAACCTTTGGGAGAATGGCGTTTCTTTCACAGAATGGAGATTTTTGCTAATTTATAACATTTATTTTAATTCCTGCATATTTCAGTAGAAGAAAGGAAGAGAGATTTCAGATCCAAATGGTAGCACACAGATAAAATGTTTTGTGTTTCACTTTCAGAACCTCACAAAGGAAATGGCAGACTACTGTGTAGCACGTATGAAGCCATATGTAGACTCCAAGACAGAGAGGCCAATTCCAGGCGCACTGGATTATATAGAGTTCACTCGCACACTGTTCCAGAACTGAACACATGCTTTGTAACAGTTATCAAGTAATTCTTGTAACCTCTCATCTGGTTCAAAGGTCATACATAATTTATAGGATAGAAGCATTTTAACATGGAAGCAGGCTTTTTATAAAATTATAATGTTAGATTTTCGTTATTGTCTTATGTTTACAAAATATTTCAAAGCATGCTGTTGAATGGTATAATTTGTGGAAAAGGAGTGGAACAGTTAATTTATAAACTTCCACAAAACAAATCATTGAGCAGCTCAGGCTTGCAGTCATTTCGAGAATGAATTGAACTGTTAAGTATTCATATCCTTGCTGATAACATTTTTATTAGTTGCAGTTGTAACTGTAGGCACGTGTCCTCATTGTTTTTGTGGGTGTAAATTATGTTCATATTTGATTAAGGTGCTTACAGTATAATTTTTGTGTCATGCTTATTTCTGATCATCTGTGGACTGTGTGTGTATACATATATATCCTGCAAACTGTTCAATTTGGAGAGAACTTTTGCAGATAAGTATGACAGATTTTGGAGACTGAATTTAATACACACTGCTTGTACACATCTTGCTCCATTGTTAAAATTACAGGCTATTTGCTTCATTTTAAATTTACATACTAATGCATGTCTAAAATAAAAACTCTGAAAGGCAAACTCTCTGAAAAATCAGGTAGTAGGAAGTGAGAAATATATATATATACATTAATATAAGCTTTGTTATTGTAGACAATTATTGAAAGCTATTTTTTAAAATATAAAGTGCAGTATGTATTAAGGTACTATGTAAAGTTAAGGAGAAGAAATACAAGTATTGCTACAGGGTGTAATGTAACTTGGTATGATTTTGTGGTATGTGCTGCAGACATGCTGAATTACTATACAGCCTGTGTATTAAAACAGTGAGCTGCCAGTTTTTTTGTTTTTTTAATATATTTATGTTGTGTATTAGGCTTGAAATGCTACGCTTGTAATTTAGTGATCTTAAATAGTGCAAAGTTGATCCATTTAACAAAATCATATATTAATGAACATTTTTGAATAGCCACAAAATTATTGACCGTAAACTCCAGGTGTATGGTAAAGGTTCACATGAAGTTTTAGGTTCTGTCAAAATGTTGCATGCTTGTTAACTACAGATTGTTTGATGCTTAGCATATTTATAAGGGCAGCTTTGAAATAAAGCAATATTTTCTGATTTGGAATAAAATGTTTCTACATAAATAGTTCCCATACCTTGTGTTTCTTAATATTTAAAATAATTTAGCAGTGAGATGCTGTAATCTTTAAATGTTTGATGGCATTGAAAATTGAAAGAATAAGCATCAGTTACATTAGAAAGTAATATTTATTTCACCTGTTGTTTGCAATTTAATACAATTTAAGAGAGGAAAACTATATATGATACATTTAGAAAGAATTTAGTATCGCTTTTGTCATCTTGTTAACCTAATTCAAGTGCTCATATACACTCAGCTCTCAATTATCCGGCATAATGGTGGGGATGGAAATCACGATTAATCGAAAACCCGGTCAAGACAAATTTTATTAAAAGTAGTACTGTAATACTGTACCTTCATAATACTATAGGCCTACCTGTATTTAAATTTATTCAACCTCATTTTTATGTCATCTCAGAGCCTATTTAATACTTTTTTACATTACACTGAAGTATGAATTAGTTATTTCAATCACAGTCTTCAACAACATCCAACACTTTTTATGAATATTCACACTTAACACTTAAAAAAATTTAATATTGTCGTCTACTTTTTCGCAGCATTTTCCTTTTTCTGTTGAATAGTTAACACAACATGCTTCCTTTTACACCCTGACATTTTGCTAACGCACTTGAAGATCGATACAAAGAAACTAACTTGGGCGGTGTATCTGTCCTTGAAACTTTCCACAAATCCTTGTATTTTTTCACCCCTACCCTAGAACATTGTGTTAGCATAACGGGACCAAAAAATGCAGAGCTCAGTTCACACTAGTGCGAAGATAGTGTTACAACTCACAATGTGAAACAGAAGTGAATGAATATTAAACAACATATAAGCCTCAAGAAAGCCCCGGTTAAGCCGCAAACCAGTTTATCCGCCCCCGGATAATTGAGAGTTGAGTGTTTTGGTGGTGGAGGAATTTTGAAGAAAGAATTAAGTTAAAATACGAGTGAATGATGAAATCCTGGGAGTAAAGCGCAGCTGATGCGTAAGGCTGACAGCCTTACCGCCATCTTTGAGCTGATTGTCCAGATAATGTGGAACCCTCAACGTTTCACAACCGTATAGGCCTTCATGGCCTGTTAAAGGGATAGCTTTACTTTTCGTTTACTTTACCTTCATGTAGTATTTACTTTTCATGTGTAGTCAGCCCCATGGCCAGTGCAAGGTACCTATTAAATGACATTTCAGTGTAGAGTGTTGCCAAACCAGACATGTAATTGGAGAACATTGGTCTTGAAATTCTTTGAAGAAAGGAAATTTTAACCTTAAATTTCACTTCTCGGATTCGAAACTAACACGTCTGTTTTTTCACTGTGTGATCACAGTTTTCTTTGGTACACACTTCAGAAACATCCAGTCCTAACACCATTGTTCCAGTTCAGATATTCTTCAGTGCATCATTTGTGCATATGTTGATGCACTTTTTAATTTTCATATAGAATTTCTTAGGTACAGTTCTTCATAAAAATGTAACTTTATTTCCTGTTTCTTCATAGTAACCCACATAATTCTTTTCTGGTAAAAATTGAACATGGTAATCGTTCTTTGCCTTACCTCCATCATGGCACATTGGCTCCAATTTATCTGCAAGTAGTTATTAAGAGTCCTTTACATTTGTCCAGCAGTCTGTATTATGATGTTTTGATGTCTTCAATCACACTGATATGATAGTGATTAAGTACACTCAAATGTGAAGGCTAAAGGAATTATTTAAAGAAACTGATGTTACCTAAAAACCTGTGATTTTTCCTATAGTTTCATATGGGGGTCTGGCATTAAGGGAAGAATGTAGATTGAGGGTGTTTGAGAACAGGGCACTGAGAAGAATATTTGGGCTGAAGAGGAATGAAGTGACAATAGGCAGGAAAAAACTACATAATGAGTAGCTTCGTAACTTGTACTCTTTGCCAAGTATATGTAGAATGAAGTCGAGCAGACTGAGATGGGTAGGGTATATAGCATGAATGGGGAGAAGAGGAAGGGTATTGGTGGGAAAGCCAGAAGGAAAGAGACCGGTAGGAAGACCAACATGTAGGTGGGTGGATAATATTAAAATGGATCTTAGGATGGAGTGATCTGACTCAGGATAGGGACCGGTGGCAGACTCTTATGAAGGGGGTAGTGAACATCCTGTCGTCTGGGGTGCAACGCCATGTGTTCTGCTGAAAGCGTTTTGTGGAACGTGCTGCCTACATCTTAAGGGTTGAAGAAAAGCCAAGCAAGAAACCAGCATGAAGGGGGTAGCATGCAGAACTGAGGGAGGAGTTGGTTGCCTTTGAAGTACACAGTGCCACATATGAGAAGACAGGGCGTTTCATAACCGTTGCTTTGAGAACCTGAAATCGCACACGGTAATGAACCTTCGGGTTCCATAAAATGTTCGGAAATTTTTGAGTAGTAAATTTCACTGATTGCTTCTCCATGGAGTTGGATTTTATATAATTTCAACGTTTTCATCTTTCAGGTACAAGTGAAGACTGATTACACCAGTTCACATACAGTTTTGCACAAAAGGAGTAATTTTAAGTCCAATATAATAGTGTTTGTAATTATTTATTGGGAACTTAGAATAAAATAGAGGTGGGTGGGGCGAGAAGGAATTGGGGAATTGCTGTATTTTCGACTGAGTTGCCGCTGTCGGTCATAGTATTAATGCGCTACCAGTAGATGGCAGGACACGAGGCCCGTTTATCTGGAGCATCTAGAGATGATTATTTGCATTCTGCTTTAATGATTTCTGTCACCTGGAGTGGAACGCCGTATAATATGGTAGTTGGTGTCTCTATCTGCTTGAGTACTGTTTAGTCTTTGATCGAAATGTTTGACCGTGGTTAACTTTATACATGTTGTACCCCTGCAGCAGAAGTGTAAAGGCGGTAAAGGTTGTGGTATAACCGGCCGTGGAAATTTTAGAGGTTGAACGAAAAGGAAAATGCAGTTTGGGTGCAGTCCTTCGCAATGCAAAGAAATACATTCTCACTTTGTACTATTTTTAAATCAGGCAGTAAAGTGGGGAAACTAGAACTGGATTCGCGTAATGAGTGAACTGCTATCGAAGTAAAGACGTAAGTTATATTTGCGTTGGAAGAGGTCAGTGAAACGGGTTAGTGGGCCTGGAGGTGGAAGCGGCGAAGATGAAGGAAGCCCTCAAATCTTCGAAAATTACATGGCAGATGTATTTAATAAATATTCATTTATAGAGGGTTGTTCAGTGATTTGATATAATCAAACAGGCATGCAGTCTTAAATCCCCCCCCCCATCGAAAAAATTTACTGGAATGTATTTGTCACATTTGCTGACTGATGGGTTTAGAATTATTTCTAAGGGGCGTGTTTTATTTTGATTTTTTTAAATGACAGCGTGAATAAACCACATGTAAATTTTAACTTGTTTTTGAGTTTTGGTTTGACCAAAAGTATATGTATGTATGGACAGGGCCAGCAGGGCTCTGTGACACCGGTAATTAAAGCATGAATAGGCCTCATCCCATAAGGCTGATTTAGGATTTAATCCTTAGATCAAAAAAGACCAGCAGAACGGAAAAAGCCGATATAGAGAACAAGACTATAGTACAAAGGTGAATTTCTTTAGGGTTATTCAGACCTTTTATTGACTCAGAATTTATGCCATTTAATTCTGCAGTTTTGATACTGTTAGCTTTGCATTTATTAGTGCCATAAGCAATAGATGATATGTTTTGGGTTAGTGTTGGATGGGATGGTGGACATGGGGTATATTTGTGTGTGGGGTTGGTTTAAAATGTAGCACAGCTGTTCTGCATATTCAGAGGTTGTTACAATTTTTACCATCATCAGGTTAATTTATATTTAACTTCTTTATTAAGACCATCACAACTATATCAAGGTCAGTGCCTGGTTTTGGCAGAGCCTTGATATAGTCACAGCTTGACGGTCTTAATAAAGAAGTTATATATTATAACACAACAGGATGCATGAAATGAAAATTAATTTATATTGTCACAGAAATGCTGGCATCTTAATACATCTTAATACATGGAAGGAATTCTACAGTCATTCTACAGTTTATTAGATTAAATGGAGCACAGCACTGCTCAAGAGTTGGTTTCATTTGTATGTTACAATCTTCTGTGTGTGTATGGCGTGGTCATTGCCCCTTCCTGGAAGTACTAATGGTGCACTATTTCTACCACCAGCAGCCACATTACTTCTATAAGGAAGAGGTGCAGAATCCTTATTTATGTGGATCACCATGTGATACTTCAACCAGTTGCAGTGTCTAATGAAGGGGTGCACACCACCAGCATTCTGTGTTATGTCACATGATTGATTGATTGATTAATTGATTGGTATAAGTAGGTGAATAGGTAAGTGAGAATCGAGGAAACAATGGCTGTAGTACAGTCATTTATCAATTTATACAGTAGTTTCATTCTTGAAAATGGGTATGGAAATCAGATATGATTTTCCTCTTAGAAATAAAGGAAATGGTAGGTGTTGGGGGAAACTTTGCCCCAGTACTCATTCAAACATTCTGTCTTTCAGTACATTTTATTGTAAACTGTGCTTGTAATGTTTTGCTTATCTATTGCTGGTACAAATGAAGAATGAAAATTGAGTCTTATAGTTGGTGAATGTTACTTTTAACCAAGACTGGGAACTGAAGTTGAAGTATAACTTTGTGCTTGGTTAACTTATTGAGCAAATGTGTATTTATGTACATATTAATCCTCATTACAAATATGTTAATAAGTTTGTACATTATTTTTATTCCTTTCACAGTCCAGTATGAACCACCTGATCATGAATTGCACAGATGGGAAGCCATATAGGTTTTAAATGGCATGACTTATGAGGAAAACTGGAAACACAGACTCTCCAGACGTGAGGATTTTATTCACAAAATCAGCCACTTCAGAGTTGATTCTGATTGGTCTGGAACCCATGGAACTGTCAAACTGTAGTAGTAGTAGTGATTATGTAATGAAGGCGGAGAACCGTGTCCTGTCATAAAGTTGTATCATCAGAACTGCAAGGTTTGGATTGTATACCTGGTGCTGATGACTCATTACTTGATAATGCAGAACCTACTAACAATCTGCTAAAGGAAGATAGTTCTTTCAAGTGGAACATAGCAACTACTTCTCAGAAGATGGGTAGTGAAGTAGATGCTGATAGAAAAATAGAATTTTGTTCCAGCCCTTCTTCATTTCCAGATAGAAGCATTGATGATGATAATTTGACAGAAACAGAATGTGCTGAATCCTACATATTGCCTGAATGTCAAAATGGAAATGGGAAGCCTGGTGATAGTGAGTTGTTTGTGGTTAGTTTGGATCCAATGCAAGTGTTACCTGATGGCAATATGATACAAAGAGAAGGCAGTGTATATCCATGCAAGAAATGTGACAGAACTTTTCCTCTTCAACAGCTGCTTGTCCTCCATGAACGTAACCATTCACGGGAAAGGAAATATAAGTGTGCTAGTTGCAATAAAAAGTTTTACACCAATGGAGATCTACACAAACATGAGACAGTGCATTGGGAGGATAAGCCATTTTCTTGTGTTGCATGTGGGAAATCTTTTGCTCGAAAAAATTTACTCACTCGGCATGAAAATGTGCACAGGGATAAGAAACGAACTTCATGCAGCTATTGTTCTAAATTATTTCTTTCACTGGCTGAGCTAGCTGAACACGAGAAGGGCCACAAGCGGACCAGACGGTTCCAGTGTAGGTTTTGTGAACAGAAGTTTGCTGCAAAACATTCCTTGGCAAAGCACGAGAGTCGTCATCGGGGAAATGATCTGAAGTTCACATGTGACTATTGTCGGGAAATGTTTTCTTCTCATGCGAAACTTTCACGTCATCTGGTTATACATGCAGGCAGTAAACCATTTCCATGCAAGGTGTGCACCAAGACATTTTCTCTGAGCCACCACCTCACCCGACATATGCGTATTCATTTTTCAGAAAAACTATTCAAATGCTCTTACTGCTTAAAATTATTCTCACGCCGAGAATCCTTGGAGATACATGTTCGTAGTCATACAGGGGAGAGGCCATACCCATGCAAAGTGTGTGGTAAGTGCTTTCAGTCCCATACACAACAAATGCGACACTCGAAGATCCACACAGAAAAACCCTTCCTGTGTTTTGTATGCAAGAAAGCATTTTTAACAGAAAGTGAACAGGAGAAGCATTCCTGCACTTTCAGATCAGGTAATACTAAAACAGCGACATCCTTGGGAAAGCTGTTTCTTTGTACCATGTGTAAGAATCCCTTTGCTACGAAACCAGAACTCGAGGCACATACTTGCAAGATTACGAAACCTTCTGTTCAAACAGATGTATGTGATGATAAACCTTTCCTTTGTGCTTCTTGCAAGGAAACTTTTGTGTCTGAATCTGATTTTGAGAATCATATTTGTACTCCTAAATCTGTTACTTTGGTTTCGCTATCACAGGTGCACAAACCTTTTCTCTGTTCTGACTGTAAGGAATCATTTGCTACAAAAATTGAACTTGAAATGCATTCTTCAGTTCATAAGTCAGTTGTTGTCGTGGCAGTTGTAAACTCAAACAGGCCTTTTCTGTGTGCTGATTGTAAGGAAGACTTTGCTTCAAAGGCTGACCTTGAGGAACACACTTTCACTCATAAGTCTGTTGCTATGATGACAATGGTGGACACTGATAAGCCCTTTCTTTGTGCTAAATGTAAGAAAACATTTGCAACAAAACCAGAGCTTAATGCACACACATGTAATTCTAAATTTAGTTGTAAAGAATAATAGAGATTTGGAAATTATGGATAATATAAAATTTGTTTTAAAAACAATTCATTTTAAACATTCTAAACAGCAAAAGTGAAGCAATTAATCACTTATTTCAGCATTAATCAGTATTTTAGATCTTCAGAAAAACCATATACTTCAAATTTTGCCAGGTAGAAAGTTACAAAGTGATTGTATGTATTTATGTATATATGCACTGTATGTATCCATGTGTGCAAATATGTTTGGATGTTTTCCGAGTGTCTGATGATGTAATTAGCGTAAGTAATTAATGCAAGATTGTATTTAAAAGAACATTTCACTCTGTTAGCACATGTGATATATGACATTGTGTCTTCTTCATTGATTTTGTTATAGTTCTCTCAAATTTCCTGGCACAGTAATTGAAACTCACTTCCTGCTGATCTTTTCTCTTCTTTTGTG